TTGGGGTCTGTTGCTGAGATAATCATCCCAACAGCGGGCACCTAAGCAGGTGAGAAAGTGATACAACCTGCATAGATCAAGACCATCTGTCGGACAGATTTCGAACAGATAGGTCACAAATCCTCGGCTCCCGGATATTTCCGCACAAAAATATCCACGCAGTCCAACTATCAATCGAGGCTATGCGGAGCATGCAAGGATCAGAATCAGAGCCAAGCAGCTATGGACATGTCTTGCTGGATGGACCTGTTTTTCAGGTCGTCCACGCCTGCCAAACTGGCTATTGGGCTCCTGAACCCTAAACCCTCAAACCCCAAACCCGAGATGCGATCTTCACAAACGCGCCCCTCCTGTTTGTAAAGCAACAAGAACCGGTGATCCCTGCGCTTCCATCCCGCCTACCTCTTCCTCTCTCTCCCTGCCGCTTTGTCAATGGTATAGCAGCCATGCGTACTATCCTTAATAATTAGAATGGGTTTTGGGGTAAATTCCACTATACTCATAAAAAGGAGCCCCAAAAATAGTAAGGGTAATTATTTAGGCCCCTATATTATCCTATCATATCCTGAACCTCGAGATCCTGAAACTCAAGAAGATCGAAAGCACCGGGAAAGAGGATCCTTCGCAGTGCAGAAGGAGAGGCGATAACGATGACAAATATAGGGCCCTTAATAAGTAGAACAGGGTGTTGGGCCCCGTTAGCATATATTTATAGTAAGGAACCCTAACAGTAGTGTTGATAATTGCGGAGGCTACTGTATTAAGATGGGGCCGTTATCTAGTTGTGATACCCGACACTGCAGTTCTAAGTGCGTTTTGTTACGACTCCTACGGTTGATGGTATAAATCCTGCATTACCCATAATAAGAAATATACCATAAATCCCATCGTTAAAGGGCCTTAAGGTAGTGCAGGATTTATATCATCAACCGTAGCAGCTGACTGCCCTGTTGCCCGCCTGAAAGCACAAGGCTGTGACGCTCATCCTGCAGTTCTTTGTAGTGGCTGATGGCCCCGTCCATGCGTGCCTCAGGAGCAGGGAATGGCAGCTGTGGCGATCAATCTGGTACCCATCGGCTTCTAGATACCGTGTTTACCCTGCAGCCCACCATTATTATCACCACCACCACCAGAATAGGCATGGCTACTTTTGGCACTTGACGTTGTCACTTTGCCGTAGCATTCAGACGAACAACCTTGTTAACAGTTATACTGTTATTGCGTAAACATGCACATTGCTACTCCAATTATGCTGTTAAGCATCCCAAACATTGGGGGCCAAGGCCGAAAGAGTTGGAATGATCAGAGTTGGGGTTTTAGGCTTGAGTTGAGGACTGGGTCGCTCCGAACCACATCGGCGTGTGGAAAGGGGCCCTACCAAGGGCAAATCGCCCAGGCCCGCAGCGCCTAAAGCCATGCCAGCTGCCACTCCGGATGCAGCTCCAGTGCCACTGACGGCACCTATGAACGTGGCTTCGTCAGCGCCAGCCAATGGTGCTCCCTCCTCAAATCCCACGGCCACGCCAGCTCCAGTGCCTCCGGTTGCCGATGCAACCGTGGTTGGCGGCAAGGCCAAGGGCAAGGCAACACCCCCGGAAGCTCAATCACACCCTCGAAGCCTTGTTACATTGCTCTTCGGTATGCAAATTACTTGCTCGTGCCATCTGCAGGCGTACCTTTTGCAAGTACTGGCCGTTTTCTCTACTTCAGTCCTCGTCTCTCACATTGACGATGGTCAGATGCTGATGATGATAGTGATGATGTGCGGATGACGAGAACGGCGGTGGTGTACTGATGGTGTTGTTGGCAAAGATAACGAGGCGGTGACAGGGATGATGATGCTGGCAATGAACGATGGTGATGATCATAGCGATGATGCTAACGCTGGGTGTCATGATGCTGGCAGCGGTGCTGCTGATGGTGATGTTGGTGGTCGTGACGGCGGCGATGGCGATTGCAGTGGTTGTGGTGAAAGTCAAGATGATGGTGGTGATGACGACGGCGACTCGACGAGAACCTCGGTCGCGAAGCTGGAGTTCTTACAATTAGGGTTTAGGGTTTAGGGTTTAGGGTTTAGGGTTCTTATAATGATCATCATTGTCGAGACTTCATGATCTTTTGAACTTGCTGCCCGGGGCAAAGGCGACAGACTCTTCCGTCTTCGCGAAGCCGAACTGCATGACCTTGCTTTTTAGCTCCAGTGTTTTGATTTAGGGTTTAGGGTTTAGGGTTTAGGGTTTAGGGATTTTGGGGTTGTAGGGCTTTCCGGATACACTTTATGATGCAACCTAAACCCTAAACCCTAAACCCTACGGCCTTTCGGGCTTCCGGATGCAGGGCTGTTGCGCCGGGGCTGCAGGCTTTCAGGCCTTGGGTTTTCAGGTTGTCCAGTCTTCGGGCTGTTGGGTTTCGGTGTCATTTCAGCGCTTTGGCCCTTGATTTAAGTAGGATGCAAGAAAGAGTGCATATTTGCTGAACGGCTTGAGGTCAGGTTGGAAATATTGCTGACTTGTTGGGGTTGAGGCATCCAGGGCTGAAGCTGTATTGGCGCTTACGGTGTTGCATTAGTCTGGTGCTTCCTCTTCTACGTGCTTCTGGCTCTCTACGCGCGTGGGGTTTGGTGTATACAAATAAACCGATCCCAAACATGCTGTAGCATCCCACCTGCGATGTAGCTCGTCTCCTTTCTGCTTGCCAAGGCAATGAGGGCACATGGTCGGCCTATTACCGTAGTACAGCCATCCTCTGAATATCCCTAAACACCTGAACCCCTAAACCCCTAAACCCTAAACCCTAAACCCTAAACCCTGGTGCGCTTCTTCACTTGGATGGTTTACGCCCTCGATCTCCAGAACTCGAGCACCTGAAAACGGATGCCCCCTTTAAGACCTGACTTCGTAAACCCCAGGGCCTGAAACCCGAAACCCTACAGTAGACCCTAAAGCATGACCCCAAAGCCCAAGCCCTAAACCCTAAAACCCTGAAACCCTTGTAGGTTTCAAAAGAGCCTTTCTACAAAAATTACAGAAACCTTCTAGAATCCCTCAAAGAGCCGCTAAACCGGGCCTCCACCTTTGCGACCACGCGGACGAGCTGCTCGAGCAACTCCTCGTGGGTTCTGTTTGAGGTATAGTTCGGGTTCTAACATTTTTGAGTGTAGGGTTTAGGGTTTAGGGTTTTTGGTTTGGGGTTTAGAATTTAGGGTTTAGGGGCGATTGTCACACTCTATCCAATGTAGACTCATGTAGACCTGTTATTCTTAGTAGAGCACGACGATAACCTCAGCAGAACAGCTACATTCCTAGTTTCAAGATATTTCCTCAATGCTGAGCCCTTTGTCTGATCCGAGCGTATCTAGATTTCAAGCCTGCACATTGCCGACCATACGCGATTCTATCATTCTCGGGCTCAGTTTGAAGACCAGAGAACACGCGTCCTTAGGATAAGGGTCTGGGATACGTTATACTATAATTACTGTAATCAAAACAACCCTACAGCCCTGAACCCCAAACCTTGAAAACCCCGAAGCCCTGAACCTTAAATCTGTTACGACACGACCGAAGCTAATCAAGCTCCAGTGCCCCCCTCTCCCCCAGCCCGACTCGTCCTCGCGCTTCCGCCTGCGGCAGCAGGTTTATCAGTCTTGAGACTTTCGGGAAGCCGGGTTTAGGGTCCAGAAACGACTACCACATGAGGAGTGTTGGAGGTTGTTGGGATGGGAATCAGGCACAATAACTGCGGCTGCTTTGTGATCTTTGTGAATGTTAACAGACCGTTGCAGCTGCGCTCTGCATTTGTTTTGTCGAGGTAACCTTTCGTAGAGTGTGCCTTAGATAACTTTCGCACCGCGACCGTTCGTGTTCAAGACGTCCCCGACGTCCCAGACAAACCTTGGCAAGAGGGAATCCTAGGAGAAGATTGCCGGTTGATGCCTGCTGTCGTCCTGCTCAGCCACGATAGCTGCAGTGTCCTGGCGCACCATCGTAAGAGGACAGTTTGATTGGACCGAGCCCTAGGTTCCCGCGAAGTACTTCCGACGTTGGGCGTGGCCATCTTCAGCAAAGCTCAGGGTTCTCCGTGATGAGTTGTTTAGGGTTTAGGGTTTAGGGGTGATGAGTTTTCAAAGCCTCGACACTACAAGTTCCGCTGTACGGTTCAGACTCCCTCAAGGCTGGTGCGAAACAGCACATAAGCAGACAGACATGAAACAGCGGCTCCTTGAAAAGCTTCTCTATGCCTTCGTCCCACAAATCTGCCTTCTTAGCGAGGACCTGCACAGCCCTTGGCGCAGAGCTCGGAGGGCTTGGAGCATTCAAGGCACAGCCAGTAACTACCTCCTCCTCTTCCTCCCAACCACCTAGAGAAGACCACGACAGCAGCAGCTGCAATGATCTGTAATGGTCACTACCCCCATCACCAGCATGGCACCGTCGGGAAATGTTTACAAGTGTACTCTTAGCTTGAAACATACTTATCTTGCTTCTGGAGTGTCATGGTTTTTGCAAAGCTCCGTGAAGGCTCACCAGACGAGCTCGGCAAGGCAAAATCGGACGATCGCAACCAGTCCCGATCGTTGAAACCAAGTCATATAGCACACAAGAGCTGACATCTGGCTGCAGACGAGAGGCCCAAGAGCCGCGAAAAGCAGATGCGTGTCACGGATGAGCATGACCTTTGCAGCTTACAAGGGCTTGACGAAAAAATCTCAAAAGCTTCAAATTCCTAGCTTGCTGGCTGGAGGTGCCTGACTCAGGCAAGAACCTTCATTTCCAACACATCACCAGGAGTTCTAAAGAAACATCGCCGGCAAGAACACTGTCTATTCTCTGGGCAAAGAAGCAATCCGAAATCGAAGCCCCAACTTATTCTCCGCTCCCCCCGGTCCCAACGTAGGTCCGTTGCATGCTTCGTCTGATTGGTGACACCCTTCGGGTTCGTCCATCTCCGCTCGGGCAAGACGCCGACCTCAGAGAATGTGCGCAGAGCGCACGGGGCTCCGTACAGGCATGCAGCGTTTGTCGCATGCCAAACACTTACATAGATAGATATATATATATATGTATGTATATATTATGTACAAAGAGAGAGAGAGAGAGAGAGAGAGGGAGAGTGGGAGAACGAGAGAGCATGCACACCCAACAAAAACAACAGCCGTCAACACAACCAAGGTCCTGACCGCCGTCGGCATGACGGGCTGTAGCTCATGCGCCATGATGCCGAGCCTGTTTAGAGCTTCCGAGTTTCTTCATGTTGGGGCCTTCTGATTAGAATAGGGTTTTGGGGCCCATTATACTATAGTTATAATAAGGACCCCCCAAAAAATAGTATTGGTAATTATGTAGGCCCCTATATTAAGAGCAGGTTGTCGGGAAAATCAGACTTTATCACACACACACACACATACATACACATATCCACACACACACATACATCTAGGTATATAGAAGGAAGCCATGTTTCAAACTATTCATGATTCAGGCCCCTACAGACTCAGGTCCCGCTTTTTCCAGGAGGGCCTCGGTTCTGCCTTGCCTTGCCGCTCTTGAAGTCGATTTAGGGTTTTTTTAAAGCACCTTTTTCCATCTCGCTGGAAGTCCCCATAGGGTAGGTGGTGTTACGCTTTAGGGTTTAGGGTTTAGGGTTTTGGGGATCCCAGAGCCCACATCATCTCGAAGAGCCCGGCAGATGTTCAAAACCCCCAACACCGCGGACCCTAATGTAAGGGGCCTTAATGATTAGACTAGGGTTTTGGGGCCCATTATGCGATAATTAGTATACGGCTTGGGGGTCTATTATATTATAACCATAATAAGGAACCCCCCCAAAAAATGCTATAGTTATAATAAGGAGCCCCCCAAAATAGTATTGGTAATTATTTAGGCCCCTATATTAAACACAAGACCCTCAACCTCAAACCCGGGAGCTTGCTGGAAGAGCCGGCACGGCCCGAGGCTGCCCCAAATCGAAACTGCCAACGTGACCCTCCAAAGAAAAGAAGCTAGAAGCCCAGCTAGGACTACACCCTAAACCCTAATAAAGCCTATACCCTAAACCCTAAGCCCTACTAAACCCTAAACTGACAGTTCTGGGATGAGTCAGGTGCAGTCCAGGACGAGGGATCTGGATGCCGAATGCCTTCCGTTGACACTACCTACGTCTCCCCTGAAAGCCTGATGCCATGAGCACTCTACCGTCCACGCAAGCAGGGTCTAGGGTTGAGTCGGTTTAAGGGTTTAGGGTTTTAGGGTTTAGGGAGCCTGGAACTCTGAACCTCTGACTCCTTAACCTGCAACCTTTAACCCGACATCCCAAGCCCGAACTTTCCAAAGCCGACGACCTGCAGAAAGCTAAAGGACTTGGTGTCCCCCAGACCCTAGACCCTAGACCCTAAACCCTAAACCCTAAACCCTAAACCCTAAACCCTAAACCCTTCAGGCCATAGAGCCGAAAACCTAAAGCCCGAAAGCCCTAAATCCCTACACCCTATCCCAGGCCCGAAACCCTACATATACTAAAGCCTTAAGCCGTTCAGCTCGTTTGCGAATTGGCCTCCGTGGTGCCAGTTCAGCTGGCTCTTGCAAGCCCCTGGCTAAGCGCGCGGCTGTCTTCTGGAAAAGAACTTGTTGAAGAACTCGTCCTCACCATGATCAAACCTTGGAGCGGTGGAATCAGCTCTTGGGTCATGATAGCTGTTACGGTTCAGGAGTCGGGCGTTTAAGGCTTAGGGCTTCGCTGTGATTCTTGGGCCTGAGGGAGAACGACATCTTGTCGTAAAAGGCTTCGAAATTGAATTGAACAAATGCCGGGAGCTGCAACGGATCTTGACCTGACTGCGAAGACCTTGCCACAAAGAAGAAGCCTGATTCCTCTGCGGATGCCCAGGCTTAAGAGATTCTCAAGCCTTTCTGAACCGTATCGGAGTGTGGTTCAGAACGTACGGGGCATGTGCACGACGGCAAAAGCCTGCAATTACACTACGGGTGTTGATTGGCGTCGTAAACCCCAAAACCCCAAACAATCCTTCGGCCTTTTGGAAGCTTCGCCGGAGCGTTGAAGGTGTACTGAGCCAGTTGGCGATGGGCCACACTCTACATAGCGAAACACTGAAAGCTTCTCCTCTTCCCAACATGTCCAAATAGTTCTTAAATAGTATGAAAACCAAAACCGCCACCCGAATGCAGGGAGAACCTCACAAAGGATAACAAGACCAAAGCCAGGCCAATCGAAAGCCCCGACGAGAATCCTGAAACGGACAGCTATCTGAGGATCCGTCTCACGTATTCTGATGTGCTTGATCTGCTGCATGAGGGTCTGCGGCCGCAAATCTTCTGGACTAGCATCTTCGGGGTGTGGCTAAGCGAGATGGACTGAGGCGTGCAGTCGTGGAGAGAGCGAGAGCAAGAGAGAGAAAGAAAGACAAAAACAAAAAACGAAGAATTCATGAACGGAATGAGCGAAAGAAGCGAGAGACAGGCTGCGCACATACACACATGCGGAAAGTCTCCATAATTAGGATAGGGCTTCGGGGTATGTTATGCAAAAATGGCGATATCGTTTCTTCTTGCACTAAGCGGGGCCCGAATCCCGGATTCCGGGTGTTGTGAGTATTCCGGGCTCTGGGTGTGGGCTGGAGACGAGAAAAACGACGATACGAATCGTAGTGGCAGTGTTTTGGACCCGTATGTTCGACAAGAAGGAGTAGATGAACAAAACTGAAGGCCGAGCCTGGAAAGGTGCTACATGAGCTTTGGGCTTGGAGTGTTTAGGGCTTGAGGGGTTCAGGGCTTTTGGAGCGATTTCAGAAGATATCCCCTAAACGCTAAACCCCAACCCGGAACCTTAAACCCGGAACCCTAAACCCTAAACCCGGAACCCTAAACCCTAAACTCGGAACCCTAAACCCAAAGTCATGAAGCTCCACTCTGCAGACGAAGAGCCCGATACCCCCAAAGCCTTGAACACTGCGCAGAAGCACCTGCCAACCCTCCTCTGGCTGTCCGGTATAGGGTTCAGGGTTTACGGTTTAGGGTTTAGGGTTTAGGGTTTAGGGTTCACGGTTTAGGGACATCTAAACCCCAACACCCCACAAGGACTTGATTGTGATGGAAATTTAGATATCCGCAATCACTTGAACCCTCGAAAATGGGTTCTCCACTTAAACGCTCGACCGGAGCCGGAACCTCATGAAGCCTTCACCTTGCCGCACTTCATGTTCCATTTCATCTTCTATTAGTATACGCTACTACATTATATTGCGTCTATGTTGTATTATATTACATTACAGTATCGCATGGTACGCCATATGATGCTGTATCATATTTCAGTATGTTGTACTACCTACCGAAATCCTGAATGCTGCTCCCCATGAGTCCTAAGCCGCGCATCCCCAAGTCCTAAGACGTGTTACTTGTCAGCCCAAACTTCAAGCCCTAAACCCTAAATCCCCAACCCAACTAACCCGAATTGCACCCTAAGCCCTTTTCGCCTCCAGATCGGCATCCTCAATGTTTTCCTTGATCTTGGAATCCGCATACAAGGCCTGCGCGCAAAGAGCCCGAGACCCCTCAATCTCGGTCGATGCCTTACGTCCTCAGGTCATGGTGCAGGATCTCACCATACTTCAAAGTACGTAGTGATTCCTGTTGTGATAGGATGTGGAGGCTTTGTTTGTGCACTTTTGGAAACATTTCACCAACGCTGTCAATGCAGGAAGAGCGTTCAGGCGTAGGGGCAAGCAGGGCTTAGGCCGAGCGACGAGGGTTTAGGGTGTTGGGTGTGGCTTCCAGATCCGTCCTTTTGGATGAGTGGTCTTATTGCGAAGCATCGATTTGGCGCTGCGGTCTTGACAGCAGCTCACAGACTCTCGCTCAGTTGGGAAGCACATAAGAAAGATTTAGTGCTCAATGTTTACCGATCTGAACTGATGTCTCGGAATTGCGCTTTGCCATCCAGCTCGTGGAAAGGTGCAGAAGGTGAAACAAATTCTAAAACTCAGCAAGACGTCAATGCCCTGAAATTGGGAGCTCAAACACCAGCGCCCCAAACCACCGAAAGCCTAAAGACTAGTTTTCAATAGGGTTTCGGGTCTATCTTATTGCATAGCTCTATGAACCTATTCAAACCTGGGGTCTCGAAGACCCCGGGTGGATCCACACTCCCGCCGGCACTCCGAGGCAATCCCCAAACATAACCTAGGGGCCTGAAGAATTCTTCTGCTTAGGGTTTAGGGTTTAGGGTCTAGGGTTTAGGATTCGGAGTAGAGAGTTGGGCGGGGTATGTTGTACTAGAAGTATAACGGTGTGAGTCCTGAGGATTGATATTCGTAACGATTCCGACCTAAACCCTAAACCCTAAACCCTGACTCATTAAGGGTAGCTGACTGAGGACTTCGGGGGAGATTATGAAAGATTCCTGCTATGTAGGATCTACATGAGGGTTCTCGATTTTCTCAGAATACCCATAAACTGCAAACTCTAAACCCTAAACCGTACACGGCCACACCTGCAGAATTTGAATAGGGCTTTGGTCCACTTTCGACCAGGCTCTGAACAGGGACTACAAGGGCACATGTACAACTACCAACGGCTCAAAGCTCCATCGTATCCGCCATAACCTGTAATATAGAGGCCTTTGGGGGCCCATCATGCTATACTTATCATAAGGAACCCTAAGGAATAATCTAGGTAACTATTTAGGCTTCTATAGTAGAAAAGAAAGAACATACTATACTAATATAAGGAACCCTAAGGAATAATATAGGTAACTATTTAGGCTTCTATAGTAGGTTCGACTCCGGGATCCCTTGTCTCCGGGCCCAGAACGGCAGATCATGACTTGCGGAGCCGACTGTCCGGAGTCTCATGAATTTGGGGAGTCATTAGGCTCCAGATGGGAGTTTCCGAAAAGAAGGGGTACCTTATTTTGGGGTCCTTAGAATAAGGATTCCACTATTTAGGGTACTATATTTGGGTCCCCTCTTTTCTGAAACCCCCAGATATCCAGAATTCCTGGGTTTTTGGAGGCTTTCGGAATCTCTCTTCGAGCCGGAAATCTTCGGAAGCTCTCAGATCTCTGAGGCCGTTGGGCTGTGCGGCGGGAACGCACAACATCCCAGGCTGGTACGAGAACCGCTGGTCGAGGGATTCGTGGAGGTGGTCGAAGATGTCTTCGGGGGTTGAAGCTCAGGCTCGGAGTGACAAAACCGCGATCTTCTCGGCACTGTCATGGCGTCCAGGAACCACGAAATCACGGAAGGCCTTGAGGTCATACAGTCATGATGCACTCATGGTGGAACAATGGCCGCACCACGACGGCTGGACAGCTTGCTGGCCGCATCTCGCGCGAGGGCCACCACCGTCGTCACGTCGGTCTCGAACTCTGGAACTTCGAAAACATCCACCGTATATTTCCGAAAGCAGCGTGCATTTTCGGCAGGTGGTGCTGCCACGCAGGCGTGATGAACCTTTGGCCCGCGATGGAAAATCTTCACGCAAACGGAACTGTTCAGGAACCGCCTATGCAAAATGACCTTCCAAGAAGCATGGGCTGCTTGAGCCCAACTTCCCCACTCACTGCCTCGGCTGCAAAATAAGGTGAATCTTGACGTGAGCTGTTCCAAGCCGTGAATGATAAGGCATTGTGGGTCTAAGTAAGGGGCCGTCCTATGTGCTATGGTATCTTGCTTTTCGGATCTGGGTACACGCGGACTCATGTTGTACGAAAGTTGCTGACCGGCCGCGGGGATTCATGTCCCAGGTGGGTACATCTTGGTGCGGCAAGCGATACATCGCTGGCGGCTGTGTCCAGCAGCTGCCAAAATGCCTCGCTAGGTCTGCGATTTAACATTGTCGGCTCAACGACGCGCTTTGCCATTCCAAGCACATGACAGCAAGCTGAAATGGATGCAGCAACAACGGACGGATGGACGGACAGATAGTCTCAAGGCCGTGCCCCTGTTCCAGGCTGCTCCAACACAAAAAGTCGAAACACAACCCTCAACGTGTTGCCGCCGTTTCTCGTGAGTAAGGACGGTGAGGCGACAGCACCTGAACCTAAACTCCCTAAACCCTAAACC